GCCCGTTAGTCCAGGTGGTTGGGGGGGGGGGTTTATAACCCCCTGGGCAAGGGGTCAAGTCCCCCACCCCGCCCCCCCCCCCCCCCCCCCCCCCGTATTAGTCTGTTTTGTGTTGCTTATAACAAAACACATGGAACTGGGTAATTTATATGAAAACAAAATTTATTGCTTGCAGTTTCTGAGGCTGGGAAGTCCAAAGTCCATTTGGTGGTGGTGACAGTGACTCAGGGGTCTCACATTGCAAGATGGTGGAAGCTGAGAGAGCAGAGAGAGACTCTCCTCTTCTTTTAAAGCCCTCAGAACCACATCCCTGACCAGCATTTTTAATCCATTCACTATGGCATGGTCCTACAATCCAATCACCTCTTCAAGGCTCCACCTTTCAATTACCACAATAGGATTTCCCACCCTCTTAACAGTCACAATGGGGTCTAAGTTTCTAATACATAAAACTTGGGGGACACAATTCAAGCTTCAGTGAGTTTTGGGGGGACATAATTCAATCCACTATACCCTCCAAAACAAAAAGAGATGTAGAAGAGGATGAAGACAGATAATAAAATATAAGTCTGATGTCTCAATTATGGATCTTGATCTGAAGGTTTTTGGAAGAAGTTGTCTATACCTGGTTGACCTGTGAAATCTTAAGAAATGCTGTCTACTTCTAAGAGTTATCTCCTTCTAGAGGCCTTTTTAAAAATGAACCTCAGGATCTCCAGTGAGACTGCACATCCAAGGATCCTGAGCAAGGGTGGATATCTTGGGGCTTTGGATCAGTACTTGTGGTTAAGAAGGCATGGAAAAAAGGCGTGGTCCTTTTCAGTGTAGTTTGAGGCCTGGCTTCTATTGGTATCTCTTAATAATTAATCTTTACTCTCTTAACTATGTGTTAAGTAGCGGTGTCTCTGGTGATATCCTTTTAAAAATGTAGCTTGCATTTGTTGGATATATAACTAAGAACATAAACACCCATTTTCTGATCATTTCTAACAGGATGTGAATATACCAAGGTATAATCTGTCATAAGAGGTCAAGCCAAGTCTTAGGTCTTTCAGTTAGCATTTCATAGGGTGGGAGTGTGCTTTTGAGGTGTGGATTACTATATCTTTAGGACAGGAGTAAAACCTTAGACCAAGGCAGGTTAAGTTCTTGTGAAGCATTGACTTTAAAATAGCATTAGATCCTTTGATCTTCTCAGAGCTTTGGGGATGATATGGACCAAAGGGTTTCAGTTTAATGAACACATTTGCATATTTGCAAAGGATTTTATCTGTAAAGTGTGTTTATCATTAGAGAATCTTGCAGTGATATAGGGAGAAAATCCATAATCTTATATTAACGGTTATGGGATTAGTCTTTTGGCAAGGAGAAATTTTAATCCAACTGGTAACTTTATAAACTATTACCAAAACATTCAAACATTTTAAGCAGTTAAAATGAAATTTATTGGGCCGGCCCCGTGGCGCACTCGGGAGAGTGCAGCGCTTGGGAGCGCAGTAGCGGCGCTCCCGCTGCGGGTTCGGATCCTATATAAGGATGGCCGGTGCGCTCATTGGCTGAGCGCGGTACGGGCGACACCAAGCCAAGGGTTGCGATCCCCTTACCGGTCACAAAAAAAAAAAAAACGACAAAAAATAAAAAAAAATGAAATTTATTTGTAAATGTCCAAGTGGTGATTTTGACAATTACAGATAAGGATTCAAATACTTGTTGAGTCTTTCTAGAAAGATTTTTTCATCAATATCTATGTAAAGTTTAAGATAATTTGTCTGTCATCTGGCTTACATTTTGTTACAAAAGTCTTAAAATCTAGAGGTAATTTCAGGCAACATCAAGTGGCCTAGGACCATTTGAGATGGCCAGTAATCTTTTTCTCTTTTGAGCAACTGTTTTTTTTTAAATTCAGAATTTAGATTAATCAGTTGTTAGAGGGGAGAAAGGGGGGAAGGGCAGATTGTTTGGAAACAGTAAAAAAAAATTTTGCACATTTTTTTGGGTAAACCGATTAGTTGGTAACTAGTAAAAAGGTAAGTCTAGACAGAGCAACTAGTATGAAAGAAAATAAGTTGTATATGGATTCTTTGGAAAACCTTAGAGGTTAACTTTGGAGCAACATGACAGGTTGTTCCTATGAGTGCAGTGGCCTGTTTAGCACCTATGCCTTATTACACCTGGTGTACCATTCCCTTCATAAGAATATCTTAATGGATATAATGTGGTGACAGACCTGGGTAAATAGAGCTGTAGAGGTGGGAAGGGGCTGGTCTTTCATCTTCTCCCATGTCTCCTGGCAGGGCCCCCACCACAGAAGAGGACAAGAGAGCAGCTGAGAAGAAACGGGAGGACAAAGCCAAGAAGAAGCACGATAGGAAGTCTAAGCGCCTGGATGAGGAGGAAGAGGACAATGAAGGCGGGGAGTGGGAGAGGGTCCGGGGTGGAGTGCCCCTCGTTAAGGTGAGGATTTTGGAATTAAAGTGAATTGGGGAACAGTTTGGGAGGGTGTACAGGTACCCTCTGGGTCAGGGTGGGAAAAAAAGGCAAGAATGGGTTCCTGTTTGGCCCGCACATGACAGAGGATGTGTGTTGGCCCAGGAGAAGCCAAAAATGTTTGCCAAGGGAACTGAGATCACCCACGCTGTTGTCATCAAGAAACTGAATGAGATCCTACAGGCACGAGGCAAGAAGGGAACTGATCGGTAAGATTCATGGGCCTGGGGCTGTGGGATTACAGGGTGAAAGCTCTTTTTCTCTATGACACAGTGTGGGTGTTGGTGGGGAAATTGTTCTGTTTTGAGAGGATCTATGTGTGGCTATTGTAGAGGCACAATTTACTTGGAACATACCTGTCCATTTTCTGCTGTTCATTCTTTGTGTGACCTTAAACCAATCACTTAACCTTTTGGGATTGTTTTCCTATCTGTAAACTGCTCACCTTCTGTAGTAAGTGACTGAGGAGAATGGTGGATGTGAAAGCATTTTATGCCATTCTAGGATTGTTAACATTATTGCTGTTTCTGCTGGGATTTATAGAGGAGAAGCAAGTATATAGGTGGTAAGGATAGGGGTATCAGGAACGGGCTGCCTTGCTTGTCTGAAGAGGGCATCCTTTATGACCAAATGAGACTTTTTGATTTGCCTCACCCAGTTCTCTTCCCTTCTAGTGCTGCCCAGATTGAACTGCTACAATTGCTGGTTCAGATTGCTTCAGAAAACAATCTGGGGGAGGGCGTCATTGTCAAGATTAAGTTCAATATCATTGCCTCTCTCTATGACTACAACCCCAACCTAGCCACATACATGAAGGTGAGGGCAACGAAGAGGGGCGTGTCAGGGCTGAGCTGGTGGGTCAGGGAAGTTGGAAACAGTCTTGGTAGTTGAAGGCCCCACAGATTTCTGGTGAAGCGGCTCTTGGGAGGCGTCTGCTTATTCCACACCAACACTTCTGACTCTGCCATCTGATCTCTTGGTAGCCGGAGATGTGGCAGAAGTGCCTGGACTGCATTAATGAGCTGATGGACATCTTGTTTGCAAATCCCAACATCTTTGTTGGAGAGAACATTCTGGAAGAGAGTGAGAACTTGCAAAATGTTGACCAGGTAAAGGGAGGAATTGGCAGGATAACTGGAGGCATATATCATGCTTTGGGAAGGCTTATTGGAGATTGAAGAGTTAAGGTTTGGGACTATAATCTGGGCTAATTTATTTATTCCTCCTTTGCCTTCCTCTTTAGCCACTGCGTGTCCGTGGCTGTATCCTAACTCTGGTGGAACGAATGGATGAAGAATTTACCAAAATAATGCAAAATACTGATCCTCACTCCCAAGGTGAGCCTGAGCAAACATGGGCTTTGATGAGAGGAAAAGTGCAGGGAATAATACTGACCTTAGGGTTTTGTAAGGATTATACTAAATCAGTGTTTGGAAAGCCAGCCTTTCCTTGCCCCAGCATTTACACTGGAGGACCTGTTAAGATTCTGGGCCTCACTCCCATAGTTTCTGATTCAGTGGGTCTGGATGGGGCCCAATAATTTGCATTTCTTACATGCTTCCTAGTGATATTGTTGGTCTGGGGACTGTAGTTTGAAGACCATTGGGGTAAGACATTCAGTTGGCTTATTTAGATTGGATCAGAGGCATTGGGATGGGAAAGTGCAGGACAGTTTACTCAGTAAAAATGTGATCATGCTCATCAAGTCAAGGTGTAGTGATGAACAAGGCACCGAGAGGTCTCCATGCTTATAGGGTTATCTTTGGTACTGGAGAAACGCAGTTCAACAGATAGCAATGGCAAGATAATAAGTGAGATAGTTTTAGATAATGAAAAGAGCAAATTAGAATAGGGCCCTGTGATAGAAAGTGACTAGGGGGAGTGGCTGTTTTAGACATTGGTTGAAGAAAGCATCTTTAGGTAGGGGCCATTTGAAGTGAGATCCCATGAGGAAAAGGAGTTAATTAGGGGAGGAGTCAGAAGAAGAGCGCGCCTGACAGAAGGTGAGCTGGGCACGTTCCAGAAATAAAAAGAAAGCCAGTGTGATTGGAGTACAATAAGGGGAGGTGATGCAAGGGCCAGACCTTGCATGCCCTTATTACCCAAGGTAGGTAGTTGGGGTTTTTTCCTAAGGTCTTGGACGGGAACGTTGTAGGTCGTGGGAGAGGATGGTGTTTTCAGGGCACAGTGAGTAGATTTTTCTTGGGGACGGATGGTTGGAAAAGCCTGGATGCCCGGCTGAGATGAGGGTGGATGCTTTCCTTGCCAGAGTATGTGGAGCATCTGAAGGATGAGGCACAGGTGTGTGCCATCATCGAGCGTGTACAGCGCTACCTGGAGGAGAAGGGCACCACTGAGGAGATCTGCCGTGTTTACCTCAGGCGCATCCTCCACACCTACTACAAGTTTGATTACAAGGCCCATCAGCGGCAGCTTGCCCCTCCTGAGGGCTCCTCAAAGGTGAGTGCTTGGCAGTCGTGTTGGGGGAGAGGGATGGGTTGATCTGTCCTGTGCGTCTGTCAGGACTTTATAGAAAATCTCTTATTCTTTATGGACCTCCTGAGGTGGAGAACAGAGGGAAACCAAGGGGTTAGAATCCAGCTGGGCCGGCCCGTGGCTCACTTGGTAGAGTGCGGTGCTAATAACACCAAGGCCCCGGGTTCGGATCCCACATAGGGATGGCCGGTTCGCTCACTGGCTGAGCGTGGTGCTGACAACACCAAGTCAAGGGTTAAGATCCCCTTACCGGTCATCTTTTAAAAAAAAAAAAAAAGAATCCGGCTGGATAGAGTTTCATCTTTGGTTGCTAGAGCCTGAACCACTTTAAAGCCATTGTCTTTGCTGGATCTCCTCCTCCAACAACCTCCCTTCCCCCCCAGTCTGAGCAAGACCAAGCAGAAAATGAGGGTGAGGACTCAGCTGTGCTGATGGAGAGACTGTGCAAGTACATCTATGCCAAGGACCGCACCGACCGCATCCGCACATGTGCCATTCTGTGCCACATCTACCATCATGCTCTGCACTCCCGCTGGTACCAGGCCCGTGACCTCATGCTCATGAGCCACCTGCAAGACAACATTCAGCATGCAGACCCACCAGTGCAGGTAGGATGAGGAGGCATAATGGCCCAGGTGTGAAGGAGAGGCCAGGCCCCGGTCCTCTGTTTGGGCAAACCAGATTAACAAGATTAGCCACCTTTCTGGCTAGTGCCGATTTAAGCAGATGCTTGATCTTTCCCAGATGCCAGCATTCTTTGATCCTCCTGCATATTAACACATATTTTGTACTGTTCAACAGCATTAGATTCCTAGAGAGAGGTTTGAGTTTAACCAAAATTTATTTTACCTACTGTGTATCTGGTTTGGAACTTTAAGAGATCATCTTACTTTAGAAAGATGAAAAAGACCCTTTAAGAAGCTGTTATACTAAGAGGAAAGAGGGACTCAAATGCAATGTGATGTTTTGGAACTTAATAGTGGAACAAGTAATTTTGTGTGTGGCAGTACAGTGAGGACCTTTTCATATGGAGGAAGTATTAAAGCTGTGTCTGAAAGTGTAGCTCCTGTTAAGTGTGTGTAAAGACAATTAGGAAATATTTATGTGTAGAATGTTTGGTGAACCTGTCTGGTGGTGGTGGTCGTTTTTAAACAGCTCTCCTAGTTGTTCTTTTTCATTCCATGGTATAATATATCATTTTATCTGTTCTTTTCATGGTGGACACCTGCTCTATTTGTAGTTTTTGGCTATTACAAATGAAGCTGCTGTGGACATTCTTTTCTTTGTGTGGATGTGTGTTTTAATTTCTGTTGGGTGAATGCTTTGGAGTGTAACTGCTGGATCATAGTGTAGGTGTATGTTCAGTTTTATAAAAAACTAAAACTGATTATGCCATTTTACACTCCTAGCAATAATGTATGAGAGTTCCTTGTCAACTTTGGTATTGTCAGTCTTTTTAATTTTAGCCATATTGTTGGTTGTGTAATGATATCTCACATGGTGTTAGTTTGCATTTCCCTGGTGACTGTTGATATTGACTACTTTTTTATTTTTATCGGGCATTTATATACTTTCATAAAATGTCTTGCCCGTTTTTTAAAAAATTTGATTGTTCATCTTTTTATTACTGAATTGTGGGAGCTCTTTATATATCCTGGATAACCAGTTCTTTGTCAGATATGTTTTGCAAATACTTTCTTTTTTTTTAAAGATGACCGATAAGGGGATCTTAACCCTTGACTTGGTGTTGTCAGCACCACACTCTCCCAAGTGAGGATCCGAACCCGTGGCCTTGGTGTTATCAGTACCACACTCTCCCAAGTGAGCTAACCGGCCATCCCTATATAGGGATCCGAACCCGTGGCCTTGGTGTTATCAGTACCACACTCTCCCAAGTGAGCTAACCGGCCATCCCTATATAGGGATCCGAACCCGTGGCCTTGGTGTTATCAGTACCACACTCTCCCAAGTGAGCTAACCGGCCATCCCTATATAGGGATCCGAACCCGTGGCCTTGGTGTTATCAGTACCACACTCTCCCAAGTGAGCCATGGGCTGGCCCTTGCAAATATTTTCTTAACAGTCTGTGGTTTTTCTGTTCATTTTCTTAACCATGCCTTTTGATAAAGTCTAATTTATCAGTTTTTTTCTCTTACATTTATTTTCTGGGTTCTGTCTAAAGAAACTTTTCTACTCACTATTTATGAAGATGTTCTTTTTTCTATTTTTTTGTAAGCTTTTATGGTTTTAGCTTTTACATTTAGACTTATGATTCATCTTTGTTTAATTATTGCATATGGTGTGAGATTGGGATCAGAATTCTTTTATTCACTCACACAGATACCTAGTTGTTCCAGCATCATTTGTAGAAAAGATTTTCTTTCCCCATTGTATTACTTTGGTGCCTTTGTGGAAAACCACATGAAAAACAACATGACCTTATGAGGGTGGGTATATTTCTGGGCTCTTCATTCAGTTCCATTCATTCATCTTTTTGTCTATCCTTATGCCGGTCCCACACTGTCTTTGTTTTTTTTGGCAGCTGGCCGGTACAGGGTCTGAACCCTTGACCTCAGTATTATCAGTACCCCACTCCGAGTGAGCTAACCAGCCAGCCTCCACACTGTCATGAATCCTCCAACTTTGTTCTTTTTCAGGATTGCTTTGGATATTCTGTGTTCTTTTTGTTTCCACATAAATTTTAGAATCAGAGCTAGCCAGCGACAAAAAAATTTAGAATCAGCTTGTCAATTTCTGCAAAAAAGCCTGCTGGGATTATGGTGAATCTGTTAATCAAATATAAGGAGAATTAACATCTTAACAATATTGAAGCTTTTAATCCTTCTCTTTATTTAATTTTTTCTTTAATTTCTCTGTACAATGTTTATTTTTGGCAGCTGGCTGGTAGGGAGATCTGAACCCTTGACCTTGGTATTATAACGCCACGCTCTAACCAACTGAGTTAACTGGCCAGCCTCTACAATGTTTTGGTGGTGGCCGTGGTGGCGACTGGCCAGAAAGGCTACAATGTTTTGTAGTTTTCAGTGTAGAAAATTATTCCTGTTTATTTTGTGATTTTTTTTTATGCTATTGTAAATGCATTTTTAAATTTCATTTTCTAATTATTAACTCCCAGTATATAAAAACAATTTTTGTGTATTGGTTTTGCATCCCGCCATTTTGTAAATTCATTTATTCTAGTTATTTTATACATTCCTTAGGATTTCCTACTTAAATAATTATATCATCTGCATATAGAAGCAGTTTTATTATTATTCCAATCTGTATCTTATTTCCCTTTTGTGCTATATTGCAATGATTTAAATCTCCAGGGCAGTACTGAATAGAAGTAGTAAGAGAGGAAAGACAGCTTGCCTTGTTCCCAGGCTGAGTGGGGAAAGCAGTCAACATTTCACCACCATTATGGTGTGAGCTGTAGGTTTTTTGTAGATGCCCTTCCTCAGATTGAGGAAGCTCTCTTCTAATCCTAGTTGGCTGAGAATTTTTGTCATAAATAAATCTTGAATTTTGTCAAATAATTATCTGCATCTGGTGAAATGACACACAGTTATTTCTCCTTTATCCTGTTCATATAATGAGTAACCATGATTTTAGGTTTTTATACCAACCTTTCATACCTGAGAAATATCCATATTGCTGGATTTTATTTGCTAATTTTTTTTTAAAGGCTTTTTGCATCTGTGTTCATGACTGGTGTTGATCTCTATATTTTTGTTCTTGTTGTTAATAAAGATTCAGTTTTTTCCCTCAAAATTTGTACTACGTATAGTCTCCCATATCTTAATTAGTGGCAAGTCTATCTTTCCAGTTGCTTAAACTGGAAACCTTGGAGTCATCCTTGATTCTTTTTTTTCCTTCACATGCCCCCTCTTTTTTTTTTTTTTTTTTTT